AAAGAAAGAAAGAAAGAAAGAAAGAAAGGAAGGAAGGAAGGAAGGAAGGAAGGAAGGAAGGAAGAAAGGAAGAAAGAAAGAAGAGAGAAGAAAGAAAGAAGAGAGAAGAAAGAAAGAGAAGAGAAGAAAGAAATAAAAGAAGGAAGAGAATCCTGGACTGGACTGGAGGGTCCCTGTTCTAGTGGATGTTGACTCCCTTTTAATCTGAATATCCTTGGATCTTGGAGAAGGGTTGGGGCATGCTACCACTTAAAGGCAGAGCCACTGTTTAACTTCCTGCTTCTCAGCTACCTCCTGAGTAAATTGAGCACAGTAAAAATAGCGACAGGAGGGACTTTCAAAGAAATAATTGACCCGATAGGATATATATAGGCTGGTTATAATTAGAGTCTTGTTCTGCCACAGCCAAGGCTGGTCTCAAGCTTGCTGCACAGCCAGCTGCCTTTGAGCTCGGATGCTCTTACTTTCACCCTCAAGTGCTGGGGTCACCAGCTTGTACCTCCATGCCCTGTTTAGTATTTGTTTGTTCTTGAGGCAGGGTCTCACTGTTGCCTTGGCTGGCCTGGAACTCAAAAATCTGCCTGCCTCTGCCCCCAAATGCTAGAATTAGAGGTGTGTTCCACTACACCTAGCAATATTTTGTTCTTTTTTAAAAATTATTTATTTATTTATTTATTATGTATACAATATTCTGTCTGTGTCTATGCCTGCGGGCCAGAAGAGGGCACCAGGCCTCATTACAGAAGGTTATGAACCACCATGTGGTTGCTGGGAATTGAACTCAGGACCTTTAGAAGAGCAGGCAATGCTCTTAAACCTCTGAGCCATCTCTCCAGCCCCAATATTTTGCTCTTGAAAACAACTTAGTGTCTATAAAGACGAGCTCTAAATGAAATCATTGCCCTTCCCAAAGCCTGTAGGAAAAAGAATGAACAGGGCTGCCTTGAGTTTCCTGGGAGTGGATCCCACTGGGCTCACATCCTTGGCTCCCAGGAGAGGGAAGAGCGGGAAAGACTTGTGTCCTACATACCCAGGGTCTGTGTTGCATATAATGAGAATTCTCCATATTTCCCAAGCCAAGTCTCTCATTTTCCAGATGCCAGGAACAGTGAGGTAAGGGAATACTAAGAAACAGGCTGTCAGGGGTCGAGGTACAGCTCAGCTGGAGAGAAGGACTTACCTTGCACAAGGTCTTGGGTTTCACCCTCACAAGTAACCTTTCCTGAGAATGTTGGGATTCAGACGACCACAGACAACCCCACCAGTCTGCAACAGGACCGAGAGCAGCCATGCCGCACGCGGGATGTTACAGTGTGAGTCGGGAGAGCAAGTTCTGTCATCCACACCCTACAGCTGAAGCACAAAGGTCAACAGTGGCTGAGGCCTTGGCACGCGCCTTTAATCAGAGCCCCCAGGAGGCAGAGGCAGGCGGATCTCTGCGAGTCAGAGGCCAGCCTGGGCTACAGAGTGAGACTCTAAGAAAGGGAAGGGAAGATGGGGCAAGAAAAGGAAGCAAGGAGCTGAGTGATCTAGTCCAAACTCACGCCGTCTGGCAAGCTCTTAACAGCAGTACCCTTGAGTTCCCTTCTGCCCTGTCCTCCTCTGTCTCCCCCTCCCCCCCCAATAAATAATATCCTTGTTAAAGGAAAAAAAAAAACGGCACAGATAACTTTTTAGTTTGCTTTCTAATGCTGTGATGCACACTATGACCAAAAGCAATCTGAGGAAGGAAGTGTCGATTTGACCTTACAGCTTGTTACAGTTCAGCAGGGAAGGAAGTCAGGGCAGGAACTCAAGGCAGGAACCTGGAGACAGGAGCTGATATCAAAGCCACAGAGAAACGCTGCTTACAGGCTTGCTCCTCATAGCTTGCTCAGCTTGTTTTCTTACACCACTTAGGACCACCAGCCCCAGGGTGACAACATCCACAGGGAGCTGGACCCTCCTACACTCATCGTTAGTCAAGAAAACACCCCGTAGACATGCCTACAGACAATGTGGTGAAGGCAATCATTCAGTTAAGGTTCCTGCTCTCCAGATGACCCTAGTTTATGTCAAGTTGACAAAACAAGCAAGCAAGCAAACAAAAAACCCCAAACTACCCCGCACAGGGACTCGAGGGAGACAGAAGTCGTGTTGAGTTGAATGTAGGGGCTGAGCGATGAGACCCTGAACGAAGGAGAATCGTGGAGGATGGCCTGAAGCCCACAGTAGAGGAGGCAAGGGAGGAGTCCTAGCTCTGCTGATGCCTAGGGACTTCTGGCTTCCAACACTATGAGAGAACGGATTCTTCTTGTCTTAGGCCATGCGTCTTGTGGTGACGCATTTGAAAGCTCAAGAAAGCGGAGTTGCTCCATAGGTGCTTAGGCAATCAAAGCCAGGAATGATAATTACTGCCAACGTGTCATGTGCACCTGGTAACGGGCTGAAGGATTTTATCTCTGACCCTAATGTATTTTATTACCCTCTTAGGTAATAATGAAGCCTGCCTGTCAAATCAGTGCATTATGTAAAACCCAGAGAGGGTAGTAATGAAGTCAGAATCTGTGCCAAAACACCTTGAACTGCAAAAGTGAACTAAGCTTTGAAAGTTGCAGCTGAGCCAGAGCGAAGCCCTTTATTTAGGTTCAAAGAACCAATTGTCTGCTTGCGGGAGGAAGACTTCTAACCCTGGTGACAGCTCACACAACAAAGGCACTGCCTGGATACTGAGTGGATGTATTGTAGCCACGGCAAAGGCAGAGCCTCATAGTCCACGAGACAGAAAATCGGTATCTCACAGGCCTCTGAGCTGGTCAGGACACATCTGGAGCTCCCTTCAGCTCGGAATGCCACACATCCGAAACTCCAGGCAAGAAAGTGAGGAGTCCACAATGGTAGTGCAAGGGACCATCAGGGCACTGAGGTTACTCTCCCTGGAAAGGGGAAGTTGTGGGAAGGTGGGACATCGTTAAACACGGAGTGCCTTTTTGTTTCGTTGTGTTTTGAGACAGTATCTCACTGTGTAGCTCCGGCTATCCTGGAACCCACTATACAGACAAACCTGGTCTTGAACTCACAGAGATCTGCCTCCCAGGTGCTGGGATTAAAGGTATATGCCTTTATGACCTGATGTGGGATTCTCCTCTGTATGCTGTGAATACCATTGGTTAATAAAGAAGCTGTTTTGGGCCTGTGATAGGGTAGAGATGAGCTAGGAAGGGAAAACTAAACAAAATGCTGGGAGAAAGAAGGTGGAGTCAGGGAGAAGCCATGTAGTCCTGCCGGAGACAGACACCAGAATTTTACCCAGTAAGCCACAGCCTCGTGGGAATACACAGGTTAATGGAGATGGGTTAATTTAAGATATGAGTTAGCCAAAAATACCCTTAAGCTATTGGCCAAACAGTATTGCAAATAATATGGGTTCTGTGAGATTATTTCGGGGCTGAGCAGCAGGAACAAACAAACGGCCCTCATACTACCATGCCCAGCCTGATGGCTTTCGTGAAGCAGTGGGGACAGACCAGTGGTATAATGCTCTGGAGGGAATGGTTCAGTGGGTCCAGGATGGGCACACAACTCAGAGCTAGTCAATCAGAGCTAGAGCCTTGTGTTCCCTATGGCTGTAGCAGTCTGTTCAAAAACAGTCTTTTTGAGATCCAAACCAGATCAACTGTTGTCCATTGCAGGCAATCTTCCACTACAGGCTAGAAGCCTGCAGCTTTCAGAGGGCAGCTGGCTGCAGTGGAAGGACCTCGTCTGAGCAGGAATTCACATAGGAGATGGAGACAGAACCATCCTTCTGGCGCTGTGTGCACATCTGGACCAAGCCATGCCTGTGACTTTTGATTCCTTGTGATGTGACACTTACCGATATCCTTTCCTGCTTTCACCAGTTATGTCTTCACCATTTGCTCTCAGATGTCTGAGTGCATCACACCCACCTGCAGAGGAAACAGCCTGCCTGATGAGGAGTCACAGTGAACGTTCACGGCACAAGTTCTAAGTGTGGAAATTATGGTGGATATTAATTTATTTTTAGTGTGTGTGTGCTGGCAGCTCTGCATGTGCCCCCCCATGTGCAGTGCTCCCCCCATGTGCAGTGCTCCCCCATGTGCAGTGCTCCCCCCATGTGCAGTGCTCCCCCCATGTGCAGTGCTCCCCCATGTGCAGTGCTCCCCCCATGTGCAGTGCTCCCAGAGGCCAGAAGAAGAGCACACTGGGTTCACTGGAGCTGGAGTTACAGGAGGTTTCAAGTTGCCCAATGTCTGTGTCAAGAACGAAACGTTATTGACTTTTTGCTCTGGATGATTGGATCTGGCTTTTGACTTTCCCTGTCCCCACTACACAGAACACATCCTGTCTCTGCTTCATCTTTCCTTAATTATGTTGTGGTTTTGTTTAGATCAGTATTCACTGCTTATGCTTTAGAGCAGTGTTCTCAACCGTTAGGTTGTGGCCCCTTTCCCTGGAACCACAGGTCAGATATCCTGCATGTCTGCTGTAGGACCCATGGGTCTACCCCTGCTCCTGGGGTTCATCTTGAGGACAGTTTCTGGCCAGCCAGCTAAAGCATCCTGTTTGTTCCTGTGCTCCCTCTGCCTCTCCTGGAGGTTAGCTATAGGGCCTTGTTTACTCCACCTTGGGCATGGTAATTTCCCACCTGCCTGGGGGGTATTCCATTATGCAGCAGCTGGGTATATAAAGTTTTTCCTAAATTTGAATAAAGGGCATTCGGCTGACTTCCTTTTGAATGACCCGGGTCTCTTGTGTGTTCTTTCAATCTCCAGGTTCTTGCCTGGTTCCCGTACGAACTGTACCGAGAGTAACGCAGGTGGAGGCGTTAGAGTTGGAGACCCATCAGTGAGACTAGGAGTTACAGTCTGCTATTTAAATTACAAGTCATAAAAGTAGCAAAGTTACAGTTATGAAGTAGCAATGAAATAATTTTATGGTTGGGAGTCACTGTGAGTAACTGTATTAAAGGGTCACGACATTAGGAAGGTTGAAAACCATAGCTTTAGAGCACCCCAGAAAGAATGACTCTCCCACACAATGTTTTTCTGTAGTTAATAACTGTCTTACTTTTCTTGCTTATTAGTGTTCTTTTGAGGGGTGGGATTTTGAGACAAGGTTTCCCTGTGTAACAGTCCTGGCTGTCCTGGAACTCACTTTGTAGACCATGCTGGCTTCGAACTCAGAGGTCCGCCTGCCTCTGTCTCCCGAGTGTTGGGATTAAAGGTGAGTGCCACCACTACCCAGTGAGATGACCCTTTCCATCTGCTCCAGCTTCAAAATACTCAGCATTTTATTGGCTCTTGGTGTTTGGGTCCCATTTCTTCCCTTGGTTGATGATGTCATTTTTATAGAGTACATTATAGCTTCCTGTAATGTGTGAGAGCACATTGTTCTTTTTGTTTACTTTTTTTATTTAGACAGTGCCTTGATATAAATCCTGGGCTTGTCTTAAACTAGCAGTTCCTCAAATATACAGGACTCAACCATAGGTCTTGGAGTTCTTTGGATACCATGACTTATTCTCCAGAACTGCTGAGGCGGCTCGTGTGGACAAGGAGAGGCTCTGACGAGGCTTCAGAAAGTTTTTAAAAGGGAGGCTCAGGGCGTGGGCATGGTGTAGATGCCTTCAGTTCCAGCACTGGGGAGGTAGAGACTGATGGATCTCTGGGAAGGAAGAACAGCATCCAATGTCTGAGTGTGAGTGTGAAGCACTTTGTAAAAGACCCTTGCTTCCTTGTTGCTTTCTTGCTGTGCTGAGGATGTAACTGGGTCCCTGTGCATGCTGGGTGTCTTCGCTAGGGTTTCTATCGCCGTGATGAAACACCATGACCAAAAAGCAAGTTGGAGGGGCAAGGGTTTTATTTCCCTTACAGGTCCACATTGTTGCCCATCACTGAAAGAAGTCAGTACAAGCCAGGTGGTGGTGGCGCACGCCTTTAATCCCAGCACTCAGGAGGCAGAAACAGGGGGATCTCTATGGGTTCAAGGCCAGACTGGTCTGCAGAGCAAATTCCAGGATAGACTCCAAAGCTACAGAGAAACCCTGTCTCGAAAAAAAAAATCAAAAAATAAAAATAAAATAAAGAAAGGAAGGAAAAAAGAAGTCAGTACAGGAACTCAAACAGGGAAGGAACCAGGAGACAGAAGCTGATACAGAGATCATGGAGGGTACTGCTTACTGGCTTGCTCCCCCATCAGTTAAGAAAATGCCTCACAGCTGGATCTTACGGAGGCATTTTCTCAGTTGAGGTTTCCTCCTTTGAGATAACGTTAGTTTGTGTGTCAAGTTGACATAAGACCAGCCAGCACACTGGGTAAACACACTCAGTCCACGGCCAGAGCTGAACAATTATCTCATGGGTGTGCGAGGCAGGAATCTGCTCTGGATGCTTCAGACTCCTTCTGTCATAAGATCGATCAGAGTGGGGCTTGGAACATCTCGGAGCCATAGCAGGGCAGACTCTCCTGCTGAATTCCGTTGAATCATCTATCTCTAGTCCGGTGAGCCAGCCTACTAGCTATTAGCTAAAGTCATCTGTTCTGTGAGCTAACCCACACTGAAGTAGAGGGTACAACCCAAGGAGAAAGAAGTACCAAGAGGCCTGGACAAGTTAGCCAGGGCACATGGTGAGCTGAGGTGCTTATTAGCATATCAAGGAGGATGATGACCTATTACAGAGTCCTGGCTCTACTCAGGATCTCTTAGTTCTGCCCCCAAACCTCTCAAGCCCCTTCCCTTCCCTTCCCTTTCCCTAGCTTCTCTTTCCTATATAATCCAGCCATTTCAGCTATGCGCTCCCTTGGTCTCCTGGTCTGCTTGGTCCTCATTCTCTTGGTTCTTCTCCCTCTCCTGGTCCCCTCTCTTATCCCTCTCTCTTCTTCTCTCACTGCCCCCAACCCCCTCTCATGGCCCAGTTTATTAAGCTGCCCATGTTCAGCCTGGACTCTTCCAGATGCCTCTACCTCGTGTCTACACTAAAAACCATCTCCTCAACCTTACCTAGGAGCAGTCGTGTCCTCATTGTCATTCAAAGACCACAGATGGTAACCTATCTGCCAACAACACTTAAATGGGCTGTCCAAGCACATGTGTTGGCGAGAGTTGAGTACTGGCTGTCGCAGCTGTACACAAGAAGACATGCCACCCTCTGCCTGAGGAGGGTAGCAAGCATCTGTCCCTAGAGGAAGGGGCTTTGGAATACCCAGGACTGTAGAAACACTGTTTATAGTAACCGAAACTCAAAATGTGGTAGAGGATGGAATAGCATTAAGCTATAATAAACACACTTCTGGTGCATACTGCCACATGTATGACCTTTGGAACTGTGCTGAGAGGAGTAATCTAGGTACAAAGAACAAATATTGTTATGATTTCACTAGTATGGGTCACACAGGCAAATTCATAGAGGATGAAAATAGAATAGAGGTTGGCAGGAATGGGGGAGGATTTTAGAAGTTCGGAAATAAGAATGATTGACCATATAACATGAATGGACTTACTGTTATGGAATTGTATACATCATAAAAATGTAAGACTAAGATGGGCGGTGGAGGTGCACACCTTCAATCCCAGCACTCAGGGAGGCAGAGGCAGGAGGATCTCTGTGAGTTTGAGGCCAGCCTGGTCTATGGAGTGAGGTCCAGGACAATCAGAGATACACAGAGAAACCCTGTCTCAAAAAACCATTAAAAAATGTTAGATTATGGTTGGGGATATAGTTGAGAGGTAACAAGTTAGTTTAACATGCGCGACCCTAACAATACCAAAAAAGAAGGAAGAGGAGACGAAGATGTCGAAGGATGAGGAAGTTGCAATGTAGAGAACAGCAAGAGCAATTACAAAAAATTAAAAGTTGCCTGTGGGACCCAGTGAGATGGACCAATGGGTAAAGGCACTTGCTGCACAGGCTGAAGACCTGAGTTAGATCCTAGGGACCCACATGACGGAGAAAACCAACTCCCACAAGCTGTCCTCTGACCTCCACACATGCATACACACACACACATACACACACACACATGCATGCACACACGCACATACACGCATGCACACACGTGCATACGCACACACAATCAACAAATAAAATGTAATGGAAATTTTTGATTTATTTATTTTTATTTTTATGTGTATCAGTGTGTTGCTTGCATGTATGTGTCTTGACCAGGCCTGGTGTCTCAAAGGCTGGGAGAGGGTGTCAGATGCCCTGGAGCTAGAGTTACAGATGGTTGTGAGCTGCCATGTGGGTGCTGGGAACTGAACCCAGGTCCTCCCTCTACAAGAGCAGTCAGTGCTCTTAGCCACTGAGCCATCTCTCCAGGCCCATTGCCCATTGAAAAACCTTTTTGCTGCTTTGTTTTATTGTTGGTTTTTTTGAGACAGGGTTTCACTGTGTATCCCTGGGTATCCTGGAACTTACTCTGTAGACCAGGCTGGTCACCAACTCAGAGATTCGCCTACCTCTGTCTCCTGAGTACTGGGATTAAAGGTGTGTGCCACCACCGCCCAGCCTAAAAACTTAAAAAAAAAGAAAGAAAAAAGGAAAAAAAGAAAGGACAGACAACAAGAGTAAATCTTCTTTTTTTTAACTTATTTTTCGAGACAGGGTTTCTCTGTGTAACAGTCCTAATTGTCCTGTCACTCTGTAGACCAGGCTGGCCTCAAATTCACAGAGATCCACCTGCCTCTGCTTCCAAAGTGCTGGGATCAAAGGCGTGCACCACCACTGCCCAGCCAGCATACAATAGTAAATCTTACGTGTATATTTTACTGCAGAGAAAAAGTGTTAATTTTATAAAATAAGGAAACAGGCAACTACATGAAGAAGCTTTGGGTTAAAATTCATTTTATTTTATTTCATTTTTTCTTTTTTTGTTGTTTTTTGTTTTTTGTTTTGAGGCCTCGGTCTTGCTATGTAGCCTAGACTGGCCTGAGGGCTGAGTAGAGATCGTGATGGACTCGCTGGTAGGCAGGCTCTCAACCAAAGCAGAAGCGGCAGAGAAGCTAGAGTCAGGGAAAACTTGGTGGGCTCTGGAAACAGCAGGGCTGGAGCATGGGGAAGGGGGCGGGATGAGAGGTAAAGGGAAAAGCCAGATCCAGAGGGACTGCCCGACCTTCAGAAGGAGAGGTCACAGGCAGGGGACAGGACGGGAGAGAGGATGGTGCCAGGCTTGTGCTTGAGTCCTCGTTAGTTGTTAAGTGGAAGCAGAGGGGGGGAGCACAGTGGGAAGCTGCGGCAGAGGTCCCGGTGAGTTCCTGGGGCCCGATCTGGGGTGAGGGTAGTAAGGTCAGCCACTTCAGGTCCGAAAGGTCCACCCCTGCACCGTGTGCTATTTCTCCAGGCCACTGAGATGTTTTCTCTGTGTCTGCAGCCATGGCTCAGCCTCAGAGTCCTTCAAGGCATCTCAAATCTTCCCTTGGACTTGCTCCAGCAGCCTCTTCCAGAGCCGGGCCTGTCCTCACCCTTCTGAAGTTCACGAAGACCTAAGACTTTGAATTAACCTTGCCACATCCCTGCAGTCTTGGCCCTCTCCTTTGTACGTGACCACAGGGCAAATGAGCCTCTTCTCATTCTTCATTTACAGAGGAGATGGAATATCTGCTCCCCCCAGTCCCTGCCAGCATCAGCTGGCAGGCAGCTGGCAGGCAGCTGGCAGGCTCCCGCAGGCTCCAGGCTGTTTCTGTAGCAAGTATTTCACTCTCCTGGG